CAACCACGACACCTCTCAGTGACTTTTCACGCCTCAGCTCGCCTGCTGCACACTGCCTACACTTTAGCGAAATTTATGAATTCAGTACGTGAGTAATTCCAAGCCAACCAGTAACATTTTCTCTCACTAGCCAGTTGAAGGAATCCTCACACGCAATGTAGGTCTTCGACCCACAGCTAACACTGAATAGTTTCGAGGATTCCCAAACCCTCTTTTCTTGCAATCCCAGCGCTGCCCGATGTCAGATAGCTTTACTTGTGTCTTGCGAAATTAATTTATGAAGCATTTGAGACGAACAACAGCCACTGAAACAATTGTTCCACCAAACAATCTCACCATGCACAAGAAAGATAACGCACTGCAGATTTGTTACGTGGTTTCGCGATGGGTTGAAAAGGCACAACATCATCAGAAGTTAGGGGTGTGCTTATGAATGGCAAAGGAATCAACTCACTGACTTGGAATTACTCCCTAACATGAATGCAGGATTCATATGAAGGGTGGCACGGTAAAATAAAGTACAAATGTCCATGAACGACTCTCCATTACAAAAAGTACAAATGCTTTGAAAAAAATGCTTACATTCATGGGATATCTTGTTCTCCAACAAAATCTTCTCTTGTACGAGGCCTTCAATGCGGACTTCGGCTGCAGCCAAACGATCTTTTGCAGTGGCTAACTCATGCTCCAGCTGAAAAAGAGGAAAGACAGATCAAAGCACAATTGCTGATTGCAAAAACTTGATTTGGTGCAGATGGATTTGAGGGGGTGGGGGTGGTCCGGCCTTCCTAAGTAAGACGAGGATGAGATAATACGTAAAGGGCTGGAAGTGTACCTTTGATAAGGAACGATGAGTGTCCCACATTACACGCATCCTCCCATATCATATCCGATTTTACGTATTTGATCATCCACTTTGGAACTTCTCCACCTTGGGTCTAGGCAAAAATGTCCATTCCCCTGGTCCAGGACCATTTCCTTATACCATGCCAGGTGGATATGTGTCACTAAGTGTCGGTGCAATGTGAATCAAAAATTTCCTTCACATTGCACGAACACTTACCAGAAGCCCCAACCCGCGAATTTGAAATGAGTTGATTACGTATCGTGAGCGCTTTTATTCTCACCTTTGGTATTGGAAAGCACAATGGAGTGCCTCAACCCTAAGACAGGCTTGAAAAGAAGAAGAATCTCACCTTGTCCACCTTAATGATCAGTTTGTCATTTTCTCGGGATTTCTCTTCGGACAAAGCTTTGTAGGAGCCCATTTGAGTACGTAACGTCTGAAGAAGGAAGAACAAGGCTTCTATAGTGCAGAAGGACGAGCAGGAATAAAAAAAAAGCACTTCATGAATATATTTTCATAGCAGACCTTATTTTTTCGTTGTTCATCCTCAAGCAGCATTCCATGCTCGACATATGACTTCACTTTTTCTCGCAGAACCAACAGCTGTAATAAGCCATGCCTTCCAACAATCGAACGATCAATCAGCTTACAAAAAGCAGTAATAATAAGCGGACATCTTGGAGAATGCAATTTTTTCAAGCGCACTGGCGTTTCATCGAGATATTATCTATGATGATGATGGCAATATCGCCACGGAACTTTAAACATACCTCTGCGCGATCGTTACTGCTATCCTTGGCCTTATTCTTCAGTTGTTCGTAGGCCTGTTGCAATTTTGCATGATCGGCTTCTTTCACGCGCAATTCTTCGACCTCGTCTCGGAGACGTCGAAACTCATCTTCAAACGGTCTTATCTGTCCCACCTATAACAAAAGGCAGTTTTGATGAAAAAACTCTCAACATCATTAAGAGCCGTTTACCTTGGTTTTAAGATCCTCGTTCTCTTGCGAAACTGAATCTATCTTCCCTTTGAGTAATTCCATCTCCGTTTCTGTTTCAATTACTTGCACTTCCAAGCGCGCCTTCTTCTCCTATCACAAAAAACCTCAGCTAGCTTGTAAAGAAAATAGAACTCAAAACTCACTCTGAGATCTATGAGATCCTGCTCGAAAGCTTCTGCGCTTTTTCCTTTTGTCAATTCGTACAACTGCTGACGAGTCTTTTCTAGTTGCAATTCCAAGTTGTCACGATCCTGCCGCAACTCCGAGTTCTAAGAAAAAACTGATCCAGAGGAAAAAATCTTATGGGGAAAACTAAATAAGAACAAAATATTTTCAATGGCTGCCACAAAAGACATGATCAGAGAAATAAGGACGACAACGGGGAGATAGAGGGATAGAGGCCAGATTTCACACTTCAATTGCTTCGGATCTGGAAACTAGGCCATCGTGAAACAATTTAACATAACTACCGAAACGCATATAACGATACATATTGGGCCATTGAGAGCCACAACGCGCCCGTGAACAATGGCACAGAAGGGCACCACACGAATGATGATCGCCGATAGCGGTTACGAAGCAATCAATTGCTCGAAGAACGGTTGATTTTTTTCATCGCAGTCGATCGAATAAATGCAAAATTGGTGTCGATATAGCATATGATTATTCGCAGGGTAGCCCGGTGAACCCGCAATATTCGCCACTGCAAGGGCTACGCCAGCCACACGCAACAGAAACAGGTTTCTTGGCGCGCACGTCCATGAGAAAATTTAGATATAGCGCTAAGATATGTTGTAAAGTGATTTATGAACGGCCTCAGCGGGAATAAAAACACGAATCGATTCGGACGAGGGCATTATGTGAGGCAACACTTGACTCTGAGTCTAACATAGAAGTATATAATCCAATTTGAGGAAGTCATGCCATAAAGCAGCAAGAAATTGTCCTCGAATTAACATCGCAGAAAATGTTACAGAACGCATTCAAAATGATCCTACCCTAGAGTAAGGAATCCCTAAGAGGTTCATCACCATAAGGGCTACTGGGAGCGAATAGGACTTGATCGAGAAGAGTGAGAAAAAAAATAAAAAGGAAAAGTGCAAGCGCAATATTTAGGCAATTTCACATAACATGGTATTCCACTGACTTCATAGAGAAGGTAATTTCCGAAGAAAGAGAAGATGCAGCCGATAAAGGAACGCATTCCCCACCAAGCTAACAAAAAGGATGCATTTGATATAGATGGTTGTTTTCTAGAATTCAACACAATAGAGATGGGAGAGAAAAAAGCCAAAAGATACTGCTTTCCATCCGAGCTAGAGAGAGAGATCTTTCAGATAAAGCCTCAATTTGAAAACTTCGCTCACATAGATTACCTAATAAAGTGAAAATGCAAAGCGAACAACGGCACATACATTCAAGAAAGAACATAAGTGAATTCAAATTGTGGAAAAGCAAGTTCATAAGAAAGATGGGAGAACATATCCGAAACTTGAAAGTCACACATTAAGACTGGTCTAGATGCATGAAAGTAATTTATAATGCAAAGGCCACCCAGCCTCTCCCACAAAAGAAAAGAAAATGGAGCAACATACTTCTTTGCTCAAGGAGGCTAATCGGCCTCCCAATTCATCATTAGTGCTTGAGCTCGCACCAGAATTGGTTTTCTGAAAAAGTTGAAGACTGGGATCCATACACAAGGAATGATGCAAAAGAATTAGCACGTACTACGTCTGGCAACACCTCCTCCGGTGAAACTGGCGTTGGAATATCTCTTTTCTCAGACCCTTCCATCACAGACTGGATGGCAGTCATCACGCCTCCTTGAACATCGGGATCCAGAACAGTGATGCCATCAACAAATTCTGAATACGGTAAGGGATAACTTTTATTTGATGGACACAACAAAAACAATTAATGGCTGACGACTCTACTGAGGGTTTCGAGACCGTGATCAGGGCAAGAACATGAATGAGGGGAATCTGTGCATTCTACGCATTTTGCGATTTTGCCAGATATAGACGCCGACTTGGAAAAATTACGAAAAACAACTCGGCTGAAACCATTCATCAATAGCACCCCGTTCAAGCTAGCGCTAGCCATTCGGCCGCATTCCGCCTGAACGTATTCTGGTCACATTGATCAGCCTTGACCCCGACCTGCGTTCGATGATGTGCTGCATTCGCATGTCCTTCTGTCATGTTACACCAATTCCCTCATAAATCGCTGAGGGTCGCAAATGGCGCAATTCGCGAGCTATGAACGAGGCGTAAGCAACAGTAGTAAAAAGTTAATCAAGTTTCGAGAGCAAAATAATAGGTTAAGTGGAACAAATCGAAAAGTAATCCGACATCCTTTCAAATGCTCTAACGCTGGACAGCAGCATCTAAACTCACTTTTCTGTTTACTTCCCAGAAATGTCAGCCACCAACGATGAGAACCCTGCCATCTTGCAGTAGTTTTCTGTGTGGATCCGCGTCTCCAGCTGCAAAATCTTAGCCAGCAGCAACACTCATCCAAATTTCGAAAAATTGAGCTTACGCAACAATACAATCTTAAGGGTACATCGACGGAACCAACCATCACAACTAGCTCCAGTCTTCCTGTAACAGCCTTTTAGCATATCATATTAGGTACTCTACCTTGAATCAATTTGCGCAGTAACAACCTCCATCTACAACATGCCCTTTGGATGAACCTCAACGCTTAAACCCAGAATGCAGCTTGATGACACAGGTCTTACTATACTTTACACTTCGCCACCACTCCTATTTGACCACATTGGAAGACCCTCCATATGTTCACTGGAAGGGTCTGCAGGAAGCAATTGGTAGACGTCATTTTCAATTTTTGCAGCTGTCTCAAACAAAACCCCCCCGCCCCCCCCTCTGGCCCAACAGCATGACTATTTCCATAACGTGTTGCCGGAGGGACAACTTTGAACTATCCATACCTTAAAGTGAGAAAGGGTCTTCTAGTCCTAAAAATCCTACTGACACATTACAATGAAACTCTGTAATGAAATAAAATGCTTCCAAAACATCCGCATGACTGGATTCACTGAAAGTGGACCCTAACTCGACTATTTCAATTAAGTACATATCCGTTCACCGTTAAGTGGTGGTTAAAGGTGGAACCGCTCAAAAGACTGCTTTCAGCTTGAAATAAGTATTTAGGAAGGAGAGAAAGAGGAACAGAAGAGGAGAAGTTTAAATTAGCCTAAGAGATCAATCAGAAGAAATAAGAGAATATTACAGTTGAGAAATATTTGCATTTCCCGTTTTTCAACTTGTAAAAGCTGATAAAAGTGAAACTTGAGGAAAATAAGCAATAAAACCTACCGAATTCCATTTCATCAATATCCAGTAAAGGTGTTCCCTTCACAATTCTGTGAACACACTCTTCGTAGTATTCTCCTAAGCTTCGTGTGAGCTAAACTAGAGACCGATTAGAGTTTGAAACACATAAATACTTCAAGAGTTTGATTTCATTAAGCTCTCTTCAGAGCAGCTTCAGGGATATTACTTGACTGGTAAGATTTAAGATTACTTACCTTACGGAGATTGTTAGCTTTGACCCTCCAGTTTGAATCGGAATCATATTGTGCGATCTTCTCAATCCACATTTCATTGAAAAAATCTTCGTCTCTGGAAAAAATTCAAGACTGCAAAGTTACTTATAGTGTCGAGCGAAAGTGGGATTACAGTAACCCTATGTCACGAATTGGGTGCACACTGAAGAGATTTAGATGAGCCATACGTGCTTTGAGAGACTTTCCTCAGAAACCTTCATTGCCTTACATTCAGAGATAAGACCAGATTTCACTTGATGGAAACAAGGTTCTACTCAAGAAATAAGAATCACTCACAACCGCCATATTCAATTTTGTTCACACTTTATCAATACTATTTTAAGGAATCTTGACAACTTTCGCTTTTTTCAGACAGTAAAATGAGTTATAGCAGAAAGTAAAATCTTCTTAACAAGATTTCTTTGTATTTTGGACACCTTGCTAGCAGCAAAATGAGAATAGCGTAGCGTTAACGGCCCGAAAATTTTTAAAATCAAATCAGAAACTCCATGAAACTAGGGGGAAAACAGAAGAAGAATTGAAAATTAACTCTATGAAAATTTGATAACTTACATTCCATGGAGGATTTCACCAAAAGCACGTCCGCTTCTGAGACATTTTGGCTCCAAACTTAGCGTTGTGAAACCCAGAGATTTCATCTGCAATAAGGCACGATTCTATGCGATTTCGCTAGCATAATAATGGATAAAAATATAAACTGGAAACTCTAATGAAAGTAATTGAGAGGTAAATCAAAGAATTGTCCAAAAATCATTGCCTCAGTTAAACAAATAAACTGTATGATAGAACAACCCACCCATGCAATGAGCCTGTAAAATAGCAGGTCTGGTCCAGTGGGATCCATAGTCTAAAATATTGTCAATAAATCGAAGAAAACTTGAATGGAAACGTTGCATAATCAATGAAGCCAAAAGAGACAGTGGAACGGCCATTCATAAACAACAGCGATAACGTCGACAATGAAATCGAAGATCTTTATCAAAACAACTTGATTTGCAAACGAATGAAGCACTCCCACGAACCGCAAATTTTGAACAAACTGTCACAAAACTCAGGTTGAATAAGAGCAATGGAATTCATAACCAACGAATAGACAAAATTACAAGCGAGTATATATGAAAAGCAGCGGCGAAGAAATGTAAAAAAGAGAATACTGAAGAAACCGCACCGCTCTAATTTCAGGAAATTTTTCCGTATCGATGCAGAACTTAGAGGGAACTCTTTTCCAAAACAAATACAAGCCCGAGAATATCAACATAGCTCGTAGCGTATCAACATAGCCCTCATAGCGTATTCTGAAAGGAACGGAAGCCCTAAAAAAGGTGTTTGAGGAGTAAGACAGTAGAAACAAATTCCGAAAGGGAAGTGGTAGTGTAGCCATTGTGTTGCTGTACTCTGATGGGTTTACATAATGTCTTCGAGAACAAAATATTCGAGATAGCACGGTGGTAATCCTATTAACCCGTCCGGAGTGCACTGTGGGTGTGTCAGAAAAGAAGTACCAATGCAAGACAGTAATCATGTAAAGTAGTGGCCTTAAGCAGCCTCTAGAGGTGCGGGTTGGAGTACCTGGGCAGGAAGTTGTGGTCAAGCCAAAAGGATATCAAAATTAGTTAAAATGATTTACTTGTTGGGCAAAACACTGTGAGTAGCTGTCGTGAAGAGCAAAAGCTAAAGCGGAAATAGATCCAATGATGCAACCAAAAGCACAAAAACTTTCACCAGGACAAAGAACACTTCAAGGAAGAGCCTGTGCTGTGTGACGAGGACAACCATATTGGTAAAGTGCGCTGAACTTTGCAACTTGGACGAGTTGCGGGCTTCCACTCGATCAATATGTTTGAGAAACATCAATTCGATCGCATTATTCGAAAAAGCAGAACTATATCCGTGAAAAAGTTGGGAACGCTAATAGAATCGTTAATCGCACGAAATGCGCCATGACTCAACCGTGTGACCTCGTCCCCGCCCTGGCCTCCACTTGAAATACTCCACCGAAGAGAACACTTGAGAAACGAGAATCAAAAAACAGAAAAAAAGAGAGGACAAACGAGGGTCATTGCATTCCTCAACTCACAAATGGAGGCGATTGCTACGCAGATAGGTGTCTCGCCCGCAGATTTGGGGCCACTTCCGGGACAAGGGTGAGCCCGACCATGTCCAAGTTTTTGCTCTACTCAAGGAATCAATTCGATGGCGCTCAAAAAACGCCAGTAGGTGGAGTGATCATGAATCGTGCGGTTGTTTGGCTGTTTCTGCTCACAAGTCTGCATGTACAACAAGTTCAACTCAACCAAGTTGTGGTCAACCTCCAAACACAGTACCTCGATCATCGCCCTTCGATTTCGTCGTGAGTTTCTTACGATTTTTAGTAACTGAGCTAATAAGCTTCGTAGTTCCCCGGCCACTAACGCCACAAACTTCATACAAAAACCCCTAAGATGTTGAATAAGCCTCTATGGACCTATTATACTCGATTTTGGTGAGTTGGGGTGGGCGTGGTCACTGGGAAGTGACGGTGCTCTTAGATAGAAACTATATGGATAAGCTGCTTCCAACATACATACATCACTAGCTATCAGCAAAGCATGCTGGCAACAGCCAATCCACTTCTATCAAGTGCACGTCACTTCCGGTGACACACCCACCCCAACTTTCGGATATCGACTGTGGCCATAATGAATAGGCAAGTGTAAATGTGAAGAATTAAACAGATCTAAAAACGTCTCTTAAAATTCGAGAACTTGCTAAGGAAGTTTAAAGAAAGAATTGAACTCCTTCACCTCGGTAAACAGTCACGAATTGAATACGATCACGAATTGCGCGTTGTACCTTCAAGTCCGCAATTGCACAGCATGCATAGCTTGACGAAAAAAAAAACGCCGCATTGCAACAAATACGGGGCGGTATTCAATCCTTCCCCCAGGGGATATATCCTGCTGTTACGATTCAATCCTCCGGGGGGACAAAAAAGGGTTGCGTCATAGGACCTCGCATAGCGGACGAGGGGTGTGCGTTCACTGGACAGAAAGCGACTTTTCCGCGTTCCGCACGCGAAACATTTTTCGCTAACGGAACTCCAGGTCCACTCATGGTCAACGGTGGACCTGGAGGTTTCCGTACCAGGGTCAACCCTACGTGGACAAGTCCCCCCCGACCCTCGGACGTGTTTTTTGAGGGAAAAAGAAGTGGAGGAGAAGGAGTCGTATGAAATCTCTCATGAAGGAGAGGAGTCGTAAAAAAAGAAGTTTTGCGTGCAACAAGCGAAAAAGTCGCTTTCTGTCCTAGTGAATCACACCCTGGCGAAGGGGGTGGGCAGTCCCTCTTTTCACAGAGGAAGAAGCTTCGAGGTGCGCATGTAAGCTAAAGCTGGGCACACGCACTGGGCCATGCCCCAGTAAGCTTTCTCCACTGTAGAAAATGGGAAAGCTGTAGGGAAACACGCGCTATTGTACAACCTTCTCCTTCCTTCCCCACCCCCCCCCCCCTCTCTTGTACATGGATCCAGCAGGCGAAAACTTATGAGTGGCATTTTAGTAGATTGAGTTCCATCGCGCAGGTTGGCGAATGGAAACACATGCTTCATTCTTTCCCCGTGTTCTTCTTAAGCCCTAAGACTTCGACTTTCATAAGCAGCTATCATTGTTTTTTGAACTGCAACCATCCTTTCTAGAAGAGGTTACTGGCTGTGGAGATTCGCCTAGTTAAAATTTTCCCCGGGATTCCAGATACTCGCACGAGGCGCAGAGCAATGAATCTCTTTTCTTCATATCACCTCCGTCCAATTTTAAAAGAAGTTAATTGAAGGGCTCTTTTCCCTGGCAAGTTAGACGAGGTACATGGCAGTTCTCAGGTCGGAAATGATCTAGGGCCCAAGTTAGTTTGCACCTATGGAGGTGCCTCAGGGATCGCTAGCTCGCGCTCTGCCATGTAACACTTTCAGGTTTCCTTAACGACACATTCCGCGACTGGATCATCAGAGCAGTCCCTTCTGCGGATAAGCTTGCTGGGTCTGCAACCGCAAAGATCAGACCTCTTCTACGACTAAAACTCGTAGGAGGGGCTGTGGGCTTCGTAATGGTAAGCACAACCAGCTCAAGAAACACCTACGCCCACCGTGTCTGTTGTCTCGCTTCCTCTTATGCTCCCTCGTCTCCATCTGTCGTGCTCTCGCCTTACTTCCAGTGTCTCTAGCAGGGTCAACCGTCACGTTGGACCAATTTCGAAAATTTTACGACCCCCCTCCCCCTTCTAGAGGGCCTCGATACGACCCCCCCCTCAGGGTTAACCCTTCACGACCATCCTCCACCACCCTCGCCTGCCATCGCCATCATGGGGCGATTCTATAGTATTTGATTCTGAGACCAGTCGACACAGCCCAACTCCGCGGCAAAATTTTTGCATTCAAAATCCCAGCCAACAACCTTATAGGTTCTCCCTTCCATAAAAAATCATCCCTTCTCTTACTCTAACATTGTTGTAACATTGACGCTACCTCGCG